AAAAAAGAAAAGTAAAAGTTTAGTGAGGCCATTTTATTTCCCATCCTAAGAAAAGGAGGCAGAAGTGCAGCTAGCTGTCAATCAGGAAGGAACATGGCTATCTCCCAGAGCCTCAGTCAAGGAGCAGAACACCCCTGTGACAGAGTTCAAGAACTGGGAAAAGCTTAGCACTCTCCTGGAAGAGGGATGGCCCCTCACCCCACAGAGCAGGTGCTATCTGTTCTCTTCAGCTCAGCCTGCTCCACTGGAAGGTGGAGCTGTGCTACTTAAGTCGACAGGAAACTCCTGGAGACTTCTCTGATCTATGTCCACCTGACTATCCACCCAGCTGACGGGCAAAGTCTGTCAACTGCCACTGCTCCCAAACCAAGGAAGCACTACCGCTTTCTTTTGTACCTGGAAACAAATTTAAGAAGAAAAAGGTAACGTAGAATAAACTGACTTTGCCTTTTTAACAACACATAAAGTGTGGTAAGCTCTGAGTTTTAAAAAAGGCAGTGGAGTGCTGAGGAGGGGCAGAGGTCGGGAGGGCCACAGACTCTACCACGTAGAAACAATTAACTCCTAATTTCTCTTTCCAGAGGTCTGTAATCTAAGTAACTTCAAAGCTTGGTGAACACTGGGTTAATGCTATCTCATGACTTCTCAACATTACTATACATTTGCTTTAAGTTTACCATTTCTCATTTCAGTCATTTAATAAACACTGAACCTGTTGGGAAGGAGTGGGGAAACAGCATAGAAAGTTTAAGATAACAGACTCTGAAAAAGAAAATAAAAGCAAAAATAAAAGGAAAATAAAAGGGAATAAAAGGGATACAGTTCAGTCTGGAAACCTGCCTCCCATCACTGCCTGACCACTAACTAGTTCCATAACCTTCAATGAGTCATTTTAACTTTCTGGGCTTCAGTTTCCTTGTCTGTAAAGTGGGAAGCACAGGCTCAGTGAGTATACTAAAAATCGTATCTAGCTCACCTAGCACCAACCCATGAATTTGTTCATCAAATAGAGAATGCAACTGCAAAAAAACTTTCCGATTTACGAAATACTCTCATCCGCATGTTCTCATTCACTGTGGGTGCCAAGACTTAGATAAGCAAATTTGAGGCCACCTCAGCAGAAAAAGACACTGACAGAAAGATTCAATTGTGTTTGAACCTCTCCACAGCCGCAAAGAAGCAGAACAGGTGCCCGAAACCTCGGCTTTTAAGGACCAGTACTAAACTATTTCAAATTTTAATAGGTTAAAATTTTAAAATACCTGCCTGCTCTCTAAAACTTTCATGACAGCATCAGGGTAAAATGCCAGACCAGGAAAGCTTACTACAAAACAGCCTTGCCAGATACCCCAAGTTTCAGGGGGGCCAAGAGCATTCTTGCTCATGACTGGAACCATAAAACTCAACAGTGCACCTCCCAGAGAAGGATGCGCAGTCATGTGTAATGCAACACAAAGCTCAGATGTTCAAGAATACAGCAATGTTGGTGTGGGAGGGCAAACTCTTCTGTTTCCTTGGAGACATGAACCTCCGGGATATGACATACAGGGAACAGAGTTGCACCTGCTCTCAGAGCTCCAGCCCTTCACTGCAGGGGCGACTCTGTCTTCCTCCACGTCCCATGTGGTCAAAGAACCAAGAGTCCAATCTGAGACATCAGCTGAAAGGACCTCCATTCATCTCATCCGTGCCCTGCTATCAACCAACTGAAATGACGCTCCCAGTCCGAGGACTGGGAAGAGGAACTACATTTGTCACTACCAACTTTCCGGTAACTTGGACACATGGAGGGTTCTGTAGCGCCCTTTCAGCTCTTCTCAAACTCCTTGTTGCAAGCTCAAAAATACTTGGTAAAGTTCTGATTTAAAAACTAAAACTCTGGGCCAGTGTTGTGGCATGGTGATTAAAGCCGCCGCCTGCAATGCCAGCATCCCCTTCGGGTGCTGGTTTGACTCCTACTGTAATGAGGTGCAGCCATTGTTGACTCGCACCCTCTTGTCAGGTCCACTGACGGCGGTCAGGGCATGGAAATGACACGGAAACGAAGTTTCCACACCATTCAGCTTAACCGAAGACACGTAAAAGTGCACCCTGCCCCTTCTGCCTTCCACACCATTCACAGCAACTGACAGCCCGGAAGTCACCCCGAGGCGCCAAGCACCTGGCCCCTTCTGCCTGCTGTGGTGCTAGGTCAGGTCAGTGAACTAAAAGAAAACTCTGTAAATCCCTTCCTGCCTGAAACTTTGTACTGCATGGCTCTCAACCTGATTGAAGGGTGAGAGCTTAGAACCCCCTGACTGGCAGCTCGGCACAGTGGCTCCAGGAGGGTAACAGCAGCTGTTGTCACCACGTCTGAGAAATAAAGACTCCTCCTAACGTCCTATACGTGGGTCCGGTGTGATCTCTCCCGCACTCCGCAACACTACCTGCTCCACCTGTGACCCAGCTCCCTGCTAGAGATGTGCCTGGGAAAGCAGCAGAGAACGGCCCCTGCACCTACATGCAAACCCAGAACCAGCTCCTGGTTCCTGGCTTAGGCTGGCCCAGCCCCAGATGTTGCAGTTATCTGAGTGAGCCCACAGATGGAAAATCTCTCTCTCTCTCTGTAACTGTACCTTTCAAGTAAATTTACTATTATCTTTTAAAAAATTAAAACCACAACTTGAGATAGAAAAGTATAAAGCTATACACACCACAGCCAACCAAGATTCCCCAAAGACTATTAAACCACAATCTCACGCAAACCTCCAATCACTGACTTCAATAGTTACTAGAAGATGCTTGTTAAGAGTTGTTTTGTAGTGGAGTGGTGGAGGATGGCCCAAAGCCTTGGAACTCCGCACCTGCGTGGGAATCCCGGAAGAAGCTCCTGGCTTCACATCGGCTCAGCTCTGGCCTTTTTGCAGCCGCTTGTGGTTCAAATCAACGGAATGAAGACCTTTCTAGCTCTCCTCTCTTTAAATCTAAAAAAAGTAAGTAAATCTTAAAAAAAAATTTAAAAATCAAGTGGGGCAGAGGAGGGAGGCTATATCAAAACTGCACAAGTGATTCAAGTACTCAACACTAATAAATGGATAGGGTCAAAAGAACTCAGCGAGTCTCACTGTGTCATTTCAGTGAGGGGCTCTGAAATTGTTCCTGAGAGCTCAGATCATCCAACAGGGCGATCACTCCTGTTAGCCACCTCACACTGCCCAGGATGCCACACCAACACCAGGAACTGGAGAGACACTGGCAACAGCAGCACCTGCTGACAAACTCTGACAAACTTGAGCCACTTGCCAAACTCGTTCTCTCAGTCAGAAACCTAACGACAGTCAGTTTTCAGAGAACTTTACGGGGAGACTTGAATAAGATAAGAAAAAAGTTGTCAGAGACATAAAAGCACTCATTCCCCTCCCCCAGTGTCTTACTCTATTCCTGGACAATGATGTGCAAACCATCACCTAAGTCATTTTAAAGGCAGAGTTAATTGGTAATGTCTTAGCATAAGTATTTCATGGAAAAAATGTTTTAATATTGTAGGTAATAACTGGGATATCACCTAGTAGTTGAACACAGTGAACATAAACCGCCTCCCTTGAAGCGTTTACCTACGACTCCTGCTATTACCATATTACCCAATCAGCTTTTTTTAACTTGATAAAAGGTAGCTTAATTGCAGCTTGCAAAAAAAAAAAAAAAAAAAAAAAAGAAAAAGGGAAAAACATCGTTAGATCAGGTTTATACAGGAAAATTAATACTGTTACTAAACTGGCTGCAGGCAGCCATCCTGTAAGACTTAACCTCATACTTTAAAAAAAAAAAAAAATTGCAGTGTCTTGGAAGAATATTCCCGTTTGAGAACACAAGAGAAAGTTGACACTTGACTCCCACAGAGTACCAGGCTAAAAACAATTGGCTTTAAGAACCTGACTCAGAATTTCAACATGAAAGGCTTTTCTTTGTAGAGGAAACGCCAGCCCCTGTCCATCCAGATAGACCTGGAACCTGCTGAAAGTCGACACCATCACTCTGAAAATCGCATCGCCTCGCTGGCCCCACATGGGAAAACAGAATCGTCTAAAGGTAGTACGGATGTCAGCGAACGCTGCCTCCAGAAACCAATCGTCACGCAAAGGAAAAATCTGTTCAAACAAATCGGTCTAGAAGCCATCAAGCTCCAAAGGCTGGTTTCCCTCAGAAAAGGCAAGCCCGCAAGCCAATTAAACATCATCTTCCTCGCAAGGCAACTGTTTTCCGTGCCTCTGCTGTGCACACGATAAACCCCGATGAAATTTCAACCGGCCCAACGCGGTGAAGGGTCCACCTAAGATACGCCGCGAAGCGATTTAACAGCCTCGCAAATTCCCTTTAAGGTCAGGAGAGAAGTTGGAAACAGATGGAGCGAAGGAGGAAAAGTTCTTTTTTGCAGCACCCTCACGCCTCCCCAGCCCCCTCGCGGTTTTCTGGCTCCAAAGAGAGCAGGTTACAGCATCCCCCGGAATTCACTCAGCGAGAGCGAAATGAACCACCCTCGGGCACCCAGCCGAACCTCTCCCTTTCCCACAATTAAACCACCTGGCCTCCCCACCCCCGCCGCCCCCTCCAGCACAACCTGCGAAGCGCTCACCCAGGTGACCCAAAGCAGAAGGGTGGCTCGGTGGGAGATGCGAGCCGCAGAGCGGGCGCAGCCACCCGACGGGGTCCGTGGGGGCCGCGGGTCTCCGCCGGCCTCTCGCACCAGGCGCCTGCACCGGCAGTTGTGCAGATTCGGATCCCGAGGTGGGTGGGTGCGTGCGTGTGCGCGCGCGCCGGGCGCGGAGGAGCCGGGACTCGCCCCCGCTCGGGCTGCGCTGTTATCAGGACGCCGCCGCCAAATCGGAAATCAAACTTTCCCCGGGCCTCCCCTGTTGCCCATAAGCTCCGGGCCCTGGAGCTCGCCCGGGTCACCAAAGGAGCCGATCGGCAATCCGGCACCCGACTCCCTGGCCCGGGTCCCGAGTGCCGGGGCCACTTACCGCTCCTCCGCGGCCTCGTGGGGTGAGGGTGGCCGCCGCGCGTCCTGGGCGCGTCCGTCGCGCGCTCTCCCTGGGGAGAAAGAGAAACCGCGTAGACGGTCGGTGCGCGCTCCCTCGCCGCCGCCTCTGCGGAGAACGGCGGGCGCCCAGCGCCGAGCGGAGGGGGGCCCGAGGCGGGCGGGGGCGGAATCAGCCCAAGTCCCCGAGCCTGCCTTCCAGGGGGGCCCCCGGGATGCGGGCTGACGATAGGGGCGCGCTCCTGGAGGCTCCGAGGGCTGACGTGCCCCCCACCCACCACACACACACACGCACACACACACACACCCCAAAGTCCCCGAGCATCAACTATTGTCTAGGCGCCCGGGGCCCCCCATGCCGCCCGCCAGCACCCGGCGCGGGAAGCGAGTTTGCAAGGGCGGCCGGGGTCCGGAACTGAGGGCTTGGGGAGCCCCGGGAGGTGCTCGCCGCGTGGGGGAGGGGACAGGTAAGTGCCAGCGGGGTGGGGTGCAGGAAATGGGGAGGACGCCTCAGAGGCGGGAGGCAGATGGGGTGGCTGAAAGAGGGGCGGCCTTTGGGGCCCTGACCTGGCCCTTCCCGGGGACCCCACCACCACCACCACCACCACCACTGCCAGCACTCCCGGCCACTCGGCGCCGCACTGACTTTCCGCTCTCACGCTCACGCACGCACTGAACTCGCTCACAAAGTTGCCGGCGGTGGCGGCGCGGCGCTCGCCCTTCTCCTCCCCGCCCCATTCCTTCCCCGCCTCCCTGCCTTCCCACCGCCCCCCTCAAGTCTCGAGTGAGATCACCGCGGGGCCGCTCGGCGCGGCGCACAGATCTCGCGAGAGGGCCCGGCGCTCGGCGGCGGCGGCGGCGGCGGCGGGGGAAGTGGAACGAGTCGCAGGAGGTGGAGGGGAGCGCGGAACTCCTGGTTGCCTGGGCGACGGCGAAGCCCTGGATTCCTGTCTCCTGCGGGGAGCGGGAGGCAGGGATCGTGGGTGCCGTGTTCAACCTACGCCCTCCCCCTGCCCGACTTCCTCTGTGGAAGATTTTTTAGAAGACTGTGGGAGAGGGCGCGAGTAGAGGACTGGCCTCAAGATTTCTGACGAGTTTTGTCCAAAAGGCTAATTTGGAGGGGAGGGTCTGAGGCCGCAGAAGCCGGTGCTCTCAAGTTTCTAGCGAACATTCGATTGATTTTCCGATCTTCCCGTCAGTCTCGTCCCACACCCCAGCACCGTCAGCCAGGGCTCCCTGCTGTCTGGTGGCTCCCCCCCCACGAGCCTCCTTGGCCTCGGAGTGCGCTAGGCATTGGGGTCTAGGGGGGGAACCGTGAAAGCGACGGCCCCTGCTTGTCCTCCATAACTCCTTGTCGTTGGCACAGCCAAGTTTCAAGGCTTTTTATTTTAAACTATACTTATCATTTTCCGTGGTTCAAATACCTATTTTCTCCATCTTTTGCTTCATAAAATCTGGGGGGGGGGGGGAAGGCACAAAGATTTTTTTTTTAATGCTGTTCAAGATGAACTCTTCCCATCTCGTTTCTTAACTGTAGAAGCATTTCTGTGTCATTTTTGTGTGCTAACCTAGTTGAAGTGGATACTGTACCAAGAAGTTGAGTTTTTAACTTTTACATTTCAAGATGGATGAGGAAAAAACGGGATCAATGACATGTAAATTATATCTTAATTTTAACATCCTCATATGATATAATATGGCGAAATCCTTATCGTAACTCAGTATCACATAACTAGAAATATATAACTTCATTGACGTAAGCAGGTGGACATTAGGTAGGGAAGACTTTTAGGGGATTCCCTGCCAGCTTAAGTTCTCTGAGTGTCACACAGTGACACAAAAAGCAGGAAGCGAATTTGAGAAAGTCTGAGTTAACTCTCCTTGGAAAGTCATTTTGATTTTTTTGATTCTTCTGTTAAACAAAAGGTTACATGGGCTAGGTTATTATGGATTTAAAACGCTATTGCTCTTAGAGCATAAAAACTTCCAAAACATAGGGGTCAGCATTGCGGCTGTTTTAAGTCATCACCTGACACTGGCATCCGATATGAGCACCAGTTCAAACCCCGCCTGCCCCACTCCCCTCCACATCCCTGCTATGCAACTGGCAAGGCAGAAGAAGATGGCCCACATACTTGGGTCCCCAGCACCCAGATGGGAGACCTGGGTGGAAATCCAGGCTCCTGACTTCAGCCAGGCTGTTGTAGCAGATGGAAGACTGCTATCTCTCTGTAACTTCACTTTTCAAACAAATTTCTTAAATTTTTTTTTATATTTCAAAGGCAAATTTTTTTTTTTACAGAAAGATCTTCCAACCACTGATTCACTCTCAACTGGTCCCAAAGGTCAAAGCCTATCTGATCCAAAGCTAGGAGCTAAAAAGTTCTTCCAGATGTCCCACGTGGGTGCAGGGGCCCAAAGATTTAGGCCAACCTCTGCTGTTTTCCCAAGCCATAAGCAAAGAGCCAAATCAGGAGTGGAGCAGCCAGGACACAAACTGGCACCCATATGGGATGCCAGTGGCACAGGGCAAAGAATTAGCTTGATGTGCCATCATACCAGCCCCAACATACTCCTCTTACCTCTATCAGTTTAATAAAGTTTTTCATTTGTAGTGTGTCAGTGTCGCTGTCTGCATACTGATTATTTGCTCTTGTCTCAGCTACAAAGACAATGAAAATATTGACTACGCTCTAGTAATTTCAGAGGGAATGCATTGTTCATGATTTGTTTCCACACTAACTCAAAACAGATTCCTTGTTAATAAATAGGCTAACTCAAACCAAAGATCCAAACTACATGCATCCACGTTCCCACCAAGATAAGAAAGGAAGGAAGGAAGGGAGTGCTTTGAATTTATAGGCTGGTATATTTAATATCATGTTTGCACAGAGAAACACAATGGCACATCACCGGCAATCCTGTAAGTCTGTTTGAAGGAAGCCTCTTTCATAACATAGCATGATGTTATAAATCAGCCGTTGATCATTTGTTCTGGCTTAACTTTAACCTAGTTAAAAGGCGGCTGCCACGCTGTAGGCACCCACACAATACAATGTCAAGGCCTCTTGTTTTATGACTCCCATTTAGCCATTTGGAACATTTGACACAAACACCAACCAAATCGATTTGCTTTCTTCAGGGTTCCTAATGAGGCTCAAGAGATGGGTGTTGACCTCAGATTACAAAGATACCTTCCATGGACTTCTGGTATGGAAGAAAAGTAGCAATAGCCTCCGGGCCCTTTCAAGGACCCGGTCTACCATGTGTCCCTTACTGGTGGCAAAACGTTCCTCCATAGTGCTGCTGGCAAAGCAGAACCCACACATGCCTGGTTCCCAACTGCACTTTGGCTGGGTCCAGCACTCCCAATTGTCCCCCACTCTCCACTGCCTGTGTTCTTAGGGTGCCAGACTAGCAGACATAGTCAGCAGAAGGGAAGAAGAGATGGATTGTTGGCCAAGCAGAGGTTAGATCGGTTAGAGCTCAACCCAGTGTCTACCCAATGCCTCTCTTGCCTCCTCTGCTCAGCCCTGTTCAACACATACTGATTATGTAACATTTCTTCCCAGTGACAGGAAGAAAATGTGATCATGATCTATGGTACTGCCTCCTTACTTGCTGCTTTGTTAAAAGACAAGTTCATTTCCTTCTGGTTTTTCACATCAAATATAGAATGAATTTTGACATAGAGGAACACCAAGGAAATTTTATATTTTTTTCGGTTGCAAACGCTAAATCACACTTGCACATAATACTGTTAAAATCTGGTTTCTCCAGCCTGGTATCTTTCAGTTCAGAACTTGCTGTAATACTTCTACCTCCACAAAGCACTCTTAACTAACACTCAGAGAAATGGCTCTAAACCACTAAAAAGGTCCATTGAAGATTAAATGGTAGCCACTGTTGTTTCAGCTTAGGGTCTTATTTTGGGGGGAACCATATAATATAACTACATAAATACTGCATTTCTTGAAACAAATCCCACTCTCCCATCCACATACAGATATTTTTTAAGCTTGCATTTATTTATTTAAAATGCAGTTATAGCGACAGAAAGTGAGACAGAGACCTTTCCTCTGCTGGTTTACTCCCTAAATGGCCACCAGTGGCCAGAGCTGGGCTAGACCAAAGCCCAGAGCCAGAAGCTTCATTCATCCTCCCACATGAGAGGAGATACCAGCGTAAGATGCTCGTGTCCCACATCAGAGTACATGGTTTTGGTGCCCAGCCTCATCTCCTTAGTCTGGTTTCCTGTTGGTGTGGACTGTAGGCAACAGCAACAATGGCTCAAGAAAGCATGTTCCTGCCACCCACGTGCAAAAGCTGGATTGAGTTACTGGATGGGATTCTCTGCCTCAGCCACCGTGGGGATTTGAGGAATGCGCTAGCAGATGGGAACTCACTCCCAGTCTCTCTCTGTCTCCCTTATTCCCCTCTACCCTGCATTTCCCTCAGATTTCATTTCTTTTTTTAAATAATTGGAACACCAGCTGCTTTATTATCAAGTAGCATTCTTTGTTAATCAACTGCAAAGCAGTTATGCTCCCCCCAACCCCGTCCCATCTATTCTCTTTCTCTTCATAGGACATTTCATGGGGCCAGCACAATGGCGCAATTGACTAATCCGTTGCCTGAAAGCACCAGCATCGGATAGGGGTGCCAGTTCCTGTCCCAGCTGCTCCATTTCCCATCCAGCTTCCTGTTTATGACCTGGGAAAACAGCAAAGGATGACTCAAAGCCTTGGGTCCCTGCACCCCTGTGTGATATCTGGAAGAGGTTCCTGGCTCCTGGCTTCAGATCAGCTCAGCTCTGACCATTGCAGCCACTTGGGGAATGAACCAGTAGATAGAAGATCTTCCTGTTATTCCTTTTCTCTGCAATCTGCCTTTCTAATAAAAATAAACCTTTTTTTTTTTTCTTAGATAGTTTCACACCATTTCCTCCACAAAATCTCTGCTATTATTCATAGCTGGTGGCCTGGCTTCCTGAACTGGCAAAGTAGGAGGAATCAGAAGAGAAGTGAGAGATGAACTCACACTCCCTCCTTTCCACGGCAGCTACCTACCTCCTGCATCCATCTGCTTAGAACCGCTGTGCTTTCATCACTCGGGATGAGCTCGTGGTGATCAACGCAGGGCTAACCTCTCCACCTGTGTCCTTGTGCCATCGCTTCTAACTCAGGGTCATTGATTCTGCACGTGTCCCTCCTGTGGCTTGCATCAGCAAAGGTCTCTTCACTGCTGAATTACTGTGAAGAGCTTACAAGCATACCGTAATATTTGCCATAGCAAAATAAAGATTTCCCAGCCTTCCCAGCTCCCCCTGTTTTTTACAAC